ATTAAAAGGCATTAATTCATTATATTTAGACAAAATGCAATTTTTTGCAAACGTTTAAATCAAAACCCTATATCTGCCTATTTCTCTACATTCCACTTTTGGACTTAATCCTCATTTCGATGTGATGGGTCACATATTATTCCACAACATATACATGTTGCCTAAACAATCTGGATGGTGGTTCGCTACGATAATCCATGAATCTCAAAATTATGAGCAGAGRTAAAAGCTAAGCTGAAATATCTGTGTTTTGATGAGATGATTTTAGTTTCTCCTCTGAGACATAAGCTTGCATAAAACAAAAATGTAATATTTTCCATTTGTCGCAAAAGCCAAAAAAATGTTTGTGGGGTTTTGCTTTACAGAAATCTAAAGCAACATGCTCTATATTCTTAAAAGTAAGAAATCAGTTTATTCATTTTTTTATATTTGTWAGTAAAGCCAGGTTACCCTTCAGCTAACATGTTCAGATGGTGTTTCTGCATCAATTTCAGATGAAATACAGGAAATATTGTAACAAAATAAAARGGTAAGAATGGCCTCACAATAATAATGTTTTGCTATGGACTCTGCAGAACGCAACACGCCCTCCCCCATTGACCCAGATGCCATCGAGGTGGACATCAACTTCCAGCCGGATCCGACAGATCTGGTCCTGTCCAGCGTTCCTGGGGGAGAGCTGTTCAACCCGCGCAAGCACAAGTTCTCTGACGAGGAGCTGAAACCTCAGCCGATGATCAAGAAGGCCAAGAAAGTCTTCGTTCCTGACGAGCAGAAGGTAGTGCCSCTTGAAAGAACAACACGGTCCATTTGCAATAAATGTATTACGTTTGGTGCAAGTGAATTCTACTGGACGTCTTACTGATAGTCGTTTTCATTCTTTAGGATGAGAAGTACTGGTCCAGGAGGAAGAAGAACAACCTGGCMGCGAAGCGTTCTCGCGACGCACGGCGGCTGAAAGAGAACCAGATCACAGTGCGCGCGTCCTTCCTCGAGCGGGAAAACGCAGCTCTGAGGCAGCAAGTAGCCGAGCTGAGGAAGGACTGCGGGCGCTGCAAGAACACCTTGGCCCGCTACGAGGCTAAGTACGGCCCGCTGTAAAGGAGAGGAGGAAAAGAAAAATATTTTAAAAATTCCACAAAGCATCAACGAGACAGAAGCAGAACTCCCTTCCCCGCAGACATCCAACACAGACACAAACACAAGAGGGAACATACATTTGCACTGTTGCCTTCACTGACCTCCAGTCACCGTGTCGAGCGCCAGTCGCCGTCTCTTTGACGTGACGCTGGAGCTTTGGAGACACGCTGGCAGGCGTTGAGGCATGATGGGGAGCGGTGGTCACGGGTAGGCCTGTGGAGAGCGCCTGGCTCCTACACTCAGAGAAGAGGGTAGACTGTTTCTGGGTACCCCCATGCTCGAAGGCACGCGGAAAATAGGGTTTTATCTCGAGAAAAGTTACAGTGAGAGCAGGCAGGTACGGCCGATTTTGCAAGCTTTTAAATAATTCTGTCACCACACGGGAGCTTCGTAGAAGAACAAATCTGGAGCAGAGTCAGTTAGGTGTGCGTTTGTAACAATGCACACTTTACATCTATTTCTCTTTCTTGTGTTGCACTAAATTCTGAGGCTAAACAGAGGAGCAGGATTCATGTTGGTACTGGTGTTAAAGGAGAGAATGGGAGGAAGACTTCAGTGCCATAGGTCAGTCATGATTCTTCCTTTTCCTTAACCCACACTGTCTGTGCAAACGCACTATAAAACAACGGTGTGTACTCCCAACTCATGGTGGTGTTGTGTTCTAAGCCTCATCTTTGCACTTTTTTCTTAAAAACACATTGTGTAACGCCTGGTAGCACAGTGGGACCTGCAGTAGTTTCTATGGAGGGGAAAATCAAGCATGATCTGTAGTTTAAAGCTACTGGGACTTTTCTTTGATGTTTGGCTTTTAAAGCATCATATAGTAAGAAAACGTATGGCTTTAAAATGGAAGGGGGAAAGCATTTTTTTACTAAAGGTTAGCATTACAAGTGTGATCCCTCACCTGTGGAGGGATATGTTGGAGAAGTTTATTTCACAGCTCACTGCAAGTAGAGGGCGCTAGAGTCACTGTCGATTTAAAGGTGTAGTGACCGGACAGTTTTTTATTTTTGTTTCCTTTTTAAAAAAAATAAATAAAAATGTAGCCAGGCCCATAACGGCTGTGCTTCTAAACCTTGTAAATATCTAGTCTTTAACCCGAGACTCTCTTTATTAACCCAACAATATCTTTATAGTTGCCAAATAGTCAACGAGTGCTGTATTTATTCTGAAGGTAATAACACATCTGTTGATTGTGACGTATAACAAAATGTCCCACAGTTCTTTATATAACGGAACCAATAAGTGAGCAGGGAATTTAATGGGGTAAACTGTGCTTTTGGATGTTTTTAAAATGGATCTATAAAATTGTTTTTCATTTGTTTCTCTTTATGTATCCCAAAAGGGGGGAAAAAAAGGCAGCGCACATTTGCACTGTCCCTAATGGACACTTCCTGTTTGGATTGGTGAAGCAGGGCTGTAAGAGTGGTGGTGGTTGAAGTGGAGAGCGCACAAAAGGCACCTTAGTTAAAATTTGAATTCAAGGTGATGAGTTCGTTTTGCCAAAGTGGTTGAGTCTGTAACATATTGAACACAGACTGTTTGGAATTATAATTATTTTTTTACGTTTTCTGTGTCTTTGGCTGAAGCACATTTTGTGCTCTTCGAGTCACCATATTTTTGGAAAGGAAAAACAACAAAAACAGAAGTGGCAATAATACTCTTCTGTAGTCGATGTTTGTTTGATTTCAGTAATCATGTTGTGTGTAAACTTGTTATGATGTACTGAATCGAAATGTCCCAAAGTCATCCGTGCTTCCAGTTTAGATCCTCTCTCTTTAAGGATCTTAATGCATGAAACCCAGTAAAGTTGTTTCCGTTTTATTTAATTTTTTTCTTCACCAAGTGTACTTAACGTCTGTAAAACCATTGGGGGGTAAGGCAGAGCGTCTTTGCTATGATACCTTGTTTTTATAACTGACACGACGGCAAAACATCAGCTGAACAAAAAGCATCTTTTTAGGTTGATCTGTATTTACACACACCGGATCAGCTTTTTCTTTTTTTAACCATTTTTGGGTTTCCTGACGTATAATACGTTTTTTGAAGAACTATGTGTTGTTTTGCGTTGATATTCAAAACAATTACATTTTGCTGCATTATGCTGTTTAGACAACAATGTAGCTA